GTGTGAGGAAGGGGAGAGCAAAGGGTGCAGGTTGACAGAGCTGGAATGGGCCCTAGCAGAATAGAGGAGCCAGGCATTTTAAAGTAGCTGCGATGGTGAAGCCAGACTTCACTGCCAAATAAGCCGAGGGCAGGGGTCAGGCTGAGCCGCCATCGTCCCTTTCTACTGTCACCGTATGTCACTTGAAATTTCCCTCTGAGCAGAAAGCAAGTGACTCAGAGGTTTGCTCCTCACACTCCGTTCCTGAAGCCCAAACATGGCAATGCCAGATGTTGGCTGGGTTTGTACACTTCCTGTTCTTTTACACTAAGAAAAGGGAAACCTCAGGTGTGGACTCTTGGCTGGGTCCTTCTTCCCTACTGTCAGTATCATTTTGGAGCTTCACTATTATATACCTGTACAAGTTTGTAAGATGTACTTAGCCAAAATAGCATTGGCTTAGATAGGTAGTGCAACACTTTGGATGAAGAATGTTCCCCATAGGCTCAGCTATTTGAACACTTGGTCAGTCTGCAGTTAATGGTGCTGTCTGGGGAGGTAGTGCCATCCGACATTAGGAAGTATGTCCCTGGAAAGCAGTCATTGAGAGCACAGCCTCGCCCACTTTTACTATCTCTTCTTCATGTTTACTGTTGAAGACATGGTTTCTCAACTCCCTGTTCTGAGCCAAGCTGCCACGCCTCTCCAACCGTTATGGACCCTCTCTCTCTGAAACTGTAAGCCCAAATAAATTCTTCCATAAGAGAGTGGAACATGGGGGTGAAATTCTCCACAGAGGCTCAGCTATCTGAGCACTTGTTTCCCAGCAGGAGACACTGTTTGAAAACCGAATATTACTATCAATTTTCAAAAGGCTGACAAACAACTTTCAGCTCTCCCTGACATTAGTAGACTATGAATCTAGAGCTCTCCCTAGCATGAATAGACTTTGTGAGTCTAGAGTATGCCCAGATTTTTTTTACCTTTCAGCATCCAGGGTGGTTGATAGAGAGCACTCAAATCCATATCCATGCCTCCAAGAGACATGGCCAGCCATATATCCCTGCACAAGTCCTGTTCCAAAGCAATGGGAGGTGAGGGAGCCTCATCTTTGATCAACCGATTTGTGTAAGGCTCTGTAACGCCTCCTTTAAGTGGGAGCCCATGGCCAGAAGAAGAAAGAAAACCAGACTAATTTAGGCCTTTATCACTCTGTAACTGCTACTTAGAATCTCTGAGCTTCAGCTCTCTCCACGCCCAGAAATGGATATAACATCATTTACAATTCTGTGTACCACCTGTAGAGCTATAAAGCTCACTAACTATTACCACAGTGATTTATTTTTACCCTGCTATTGTGTTATCTTTCTTGGTTTTCATAAAAATCTGCATTTTACTCATGTAAATATATAAATTATATATATATATATATATATATATATATATATATATATATATATATATATATTGCCAAGACATAGCAGGAATGAGAACAGTTGGTCTTAAGGAACTGACATATCAGGCCATTCAAGAATTCCTCCACTTAGCTCTTTTCAATTACCGACTTCTGGTATGGCAAGAAAAGCAGAGAGCTCACACCCAGGCTTTTTGACAAGGGCCATTTCTCATTGTTTCAGGTTTGTGCAGATACACAAAACTCCCAAACTGATGCCTTTTCTTGTGAACATTAAAAGAACATTTGGCCATGTTCCTTTCCCATGAAAGCCTGAATTCAGGGACAAACTCATCCTGAATTTCTTTATGGCCACTGCTCACTCACAGAAAAACCAGTCAAGACCCTGGTCCTTTAGAAGTTGGCTGGGGCTATAATGATCTCAGTCATAATACAACAGATTAATGCACATTCTCTGAAGTAAGGCACCCACAGAGAAAAAGATTTGCTGTTGCAAAGCCCATGTATGTGTATACTCAATAAATACCAGATTAACATTTGCAGGGAGCTCTGTCTATTTATTACTCCATAAAGGTCTGTCGCAGTATTATGAGAAGTCAGTGAGATCCAGGATGACAGGTTTTGAGGTTAAAAATTTCAGATCTTCCATGACAATTTTCAGATTTATTATCATTTAGAACATTTAAATTACATTTTTATTTACTTATGTGTGTTTGTACGTGTGTATACTGATGTGCCACCTCACATGTGTGGAGATCAACCAGTTCTCTCATTCTACCACATGGGTCCTAGGAATTGAACTCAGATAGTCAGGTTTGGCAGCATCCTTGATAATCATGAGAGAATATATTCTGAACCTTCTGAAAACCATCTTCTAGCCTAGTACTGTGTCAGTATATAAGCCTGGCACTGGTACCAGATGATCACATCTATTCAGAGATCTCTCTCTGGTGTAAGGTGATCGTGCCCTAGTGTTAACGAGACAACGATCATCATATGTCTGCTGTTGAACTCTTTTTGGATTCTTTTGCTAATTATAAAGACAAAACTTCTTCTTTTGTACAGTGATCAGCTTTAATTGAAAGATATTTTCACAGACTAAGATTTTAGCTTCATAATTTATTTAATAAATCCAGAATGTTTTGACATCATGAAAATGACAGTGTGGTGGAATAATGTTCCACATTAATTGTCACAGGCTAATGAGAAAAGAACAGAGGCAGATTTAGTATATAATTTTTTTGTACCAAATGAACAGTAAATGACATCACAGAACATGGTAAAACTCACAAAGGGTTTATAGTTCAAGTAAAGAATTATGATTGAATAATTAAATTATGCCAGTGCACTTCACATATCATACATAGTATAAACAACTAAACTTCAAGAAATTCAAGCATAGCAGTAAATACCATCCATGTTGCCCATGGGTATTTTGTGCAAATCCATCTTCATATAACACAATTTACAGCAGTTTGGGAGGATTAGGCAGAAATAAACAATGAAAAAATTCCACTAAATTATATTTCAAAATTATTTTTAGTTTAATTTTGGGTGAACTGCCACACAAGTGGGCCTATTAAAACCAGGAGTTGTGGTTTCAATTTGTTATTTTTTCAAAAAGGAAAAATGATTACAGTGATGGCTGAGAGTCAAGGAATGATCCATTGGGCTCAACATTACAAATACACAAGTTGACAGAAAATGAAATAAATGCTTATATGTGCTTTTTATATGATTAAACCCACATAGATCACTCAGTTCAGCAAACTAGTGAAACATTATCTGTCACATTAAATTATTTTGAATAGTTTGGCTACATATTTTACTTGGATACAATATGTTTAGATATTTTACAATATCAAAGTGACCAGCATGTTTGCACACACTCAAATAGAAATTAAGAGAACAATGAGGGCTCATGACAATGTTCACATTTCCTACAAAAATCCTTTATTTTCCTTCACTACCATAAAGTTTTCCTGAATAAACATTTTAGTTATGAAATATAAAATTTATAATATATTTACACACATGCATTTTATACATTATTGTTCTTTAAATATGTGTGTGTATTCTGAGTTAATATTTATTTTAAAATTATGAATCTATATATTAAGTCATACAACTACTAAGAAATGGAATGAGGATTCTAAATAAGAGATAAATGAAACATTTTCTTTCTACCCCTCCTCCAGAAAAAAATAAAACAAATATACGGAGACAGTTAACATTAATAACCAGTTTTGGTTGTGGAAAAGTTGACCTGTAGTCCTTATTCTTTGACAGTAATTGAACAATAGAGCCAGGAATCTAATGAAGCTGCAGTTAATCACGATGGCAAAAGGTCACCTACACAGGAGTCAAAGTCATTGTGCTCGGGCTCAGAAGTGCTTATCAAAAATGGAAGATATTTTAGCAATTGCCACAAAAAGACAACATATCCTCCACATCTAATGAGATATTGCATCAACAACTTTCTATAGGAAAAGCTTGTTTCTCCTCTGATAGCCCATCAACCTCTTAGCTTCCTCTCTCCCTTATCCCTCTCTATCCTCCTCTTCTTTAATCACCCACTTTAGTCCTATCTTCTACCCTTTCTTCATGGTCTCGTGTCCCTGACATCTTTCTCCATCTCCAGAGTCATCTCTTCTCAGTAGAATACTTGGCCTTCATAGAGTGATGTCAGTTTCCTTGTCCAGAGGAGGAAAAAAAAAAGAATGTTTCACTGGTGTTGTGGAAGTTCATATAGCTCTCCATCTCTGGGGAATCCAAAATTACATAGTGCTGAATGACAGTGTCTTCTGGAAAGAATGATTATGGTACCAAAGCATATCAAATCTTTGCAAATCAAAATGAGTATTTATTGAGCACCTCCCAATGTAGAAGGCTAGAGCTGTAGGCAAAGAATAGAAATAAGGCTGGGAGAGTCTTTGTCTTTAAATTTCATATATAAAATTTAAGTTATAATGACAGCTAAATAACAGGTTGAGATGACTGCAGGAAAAAAGCCAAAAGGCAATGAGGTGAATTTGTGTAAATAAATAGTGGAGACAAAATTGTGAGAAGAGGGGTAGACTCGGAACTGTATCTGGAAATTTCATAAGGCTTCAGACATTTGTAGAAGGCACAATGCAATGGAAGTGGCAGTGGGTTAAGTATTATAGTAGTGATAAGCTATTCTGATCAATCATACATGGGACAAATCAACAACAAAATGTTCTGGCAAGACCTCCAAAGCACTGATGAAGAGTTCCATCCAAAGGAACCGTGTGTCAGTATCAAGAATAATTGGGAATGCCAGTAGTGAGCCAAGCCTTTTGTCTTACAGGTCTCTTACTTGTATGTTACTGTTTCTGGTTTTTCTTTTTGAAAGTTTGTATTTTGTGTGTATGTGTGTTCTTTTCTTTTCTTTTCTTTTCTTTTCTTTTCTTTTCTTTTCTTTTTTTTTGCTCGCTTGTTTGTTTAATTGTTTTTTAAAGAGAGAATGGGGGAAAGGAGGAGAAAGAGGACATAGAGTTGGGGAGATGGGGAATTGGGGAGGACCTGGGAGGAGTTTGGGAAGAGAAAAAAACATGATCAGAATATACTGAATGAATAAACTTTAATTTTTTTCTCAATTAAAAAAATAGTAGTAGTGGCACTAGAGAGACAGACGGCTCAGTGGTTCAGAGTACGCACTGCTCTTCCGGAGGACCCACGGTCAGACACTAGCACCCACAATGGCAGGTCCCAGTTGCCCTTAACTCCAACTCCAAGGGATCCAACAACTGACAACCACTTTCTGGCCTCTGTAGGCACCTGCATGCCCGTGTCTTACACACGTACACACACACACACACACACACACACACACACACACACACTCACTCACTCACTGAAATTTCATAAAATTAACTAACAACAGTCAGAGACACAATCATGGAAGTAGTCTCCACAACAGAAGACTGCACCTGCATACCAACAATCATAACGGGTGTGTTCCAGCCCCATCATGAATCTAAAAGATTAAATGTGACAGCTCATGAGTGGTGATTATAAATTGTTTATTTTTCCCTTAACTGTTGGTTTCCATCTTTTACATTTAAATCTGCCTTAAGTCTAGGAAACTGCCAGTGATATGATTTGTGTAGGAAGAGAAAGTACCCTTTCAGGACAAGGCAAAATGCAAAGAGCTCTTTTTGGAACACATGTTTCCAGTTTTGCTGCTTAATTTTGGAAAGAGGTAATTCCATGTCAAAATTAGGCCGAGTGAAAAATGCACACACAGTAATCTTCATTTTCATTATCTGGAGTAGTTCAAAAAGCTCAAAAACTGGAAGTATTCTCAAAGAAAGGAATGCATGTTCAGGTAATTACAAATAACAGCCGCATCTGGTTATCTTAATTGTTTGGGAATGTCTCAATTAGCCGAGAATGTTTTCATGATGACTTGGAGACAGTGAAAATTTTTCATGGCAGATTGAATTCAATGGTGAGAGAAAATATAGGCAGCTCACTCTGAAGTCTATTATGACGACAGAATCCATTCAAAGATCAATATCTTTTGAATTTTGTTTGTAAGGGGAATATAAATGTCTTTTTAAAAAAATCTGCAGGTAGAAAATGCCAAGAAAGATAAGAGAGTGAGTCCCTGGCTTCATATTGGGCACATAAAATTTAAAATTGGTGGTGAAAGTGGCCGCTTATAAAGACTTATACCATTGGTCTGCAGAGGGGCAGTGGTGCTCGTGGTGTGGCTACTACCCAGGCTAAGTCAACATACATTCAGCCTCACAAATGCCACAGTTCTGTTTCTTAACAGAAGTTGCTCTCTTACTGATATTTGAGTCTCAGGCTTCCCCTGTAGTTTGGATTAATATGTTGAAAACTTTAAAATGATCCAAAACTATAGGCACATGATCTGGTTTAGGACTTGGATATTTTTAAAGTACTCATGCAGTTTCTTGATCAGTGCTTTGGTTTGAATATGCCATATTGACAAGCTTTCACATCCAGGAAGCTTGGTCTCTGGTGGGGCAACATCCAGCAGTAGAAGGTTTAAGAAGTGGATCCTAGTAGGTCATAAGGGATTTATCTTCATGGACATATTATTATTGACTCACTTTAGTAAGTGGATTGGTTCTTATGAGAATGATTGTTAGAAGTGAGTCCAGCATCTTCCATGAACCACCTTCACACGTTAATCACTTCTGGGGGTACTGAGATGCCAGTTTCCACAAGGCTTTTGCCAGAGCCAAGCAGATGCCAACACCATTCTTTTGAATTGCTATTAAGGAAACTTTTCCTTACAAAGAACCAGCTTCCTGCATTATTGCATTAAACCTCAACATGAGCTAGCACAGACTTGCACATGTTCTTTGCCTCTCTGGGATTGCCATCATCCTACACTTTGATCTTTCCAGTGGGTCAAGCTCAGTTCAGAGCCTGACTTTCCTGACCTTCATATCCTTTATTTTTAAAAGAGAAATGTATTTATTAGCTTTAGGAAAGCCCATAAGCAATTAAGAAGTCACCTTCTCAAGTGCCCTTCTCTTCTTGGATGAGAAGGCTTCCCACTCAGCATTTAACTTAGTTTGTTAATGTAGGCGAAAAGAGATGGCTTCATCTTCTGCAGGGGAAATTTCTAGGGCAATTGTTCAGAAATGCTTTAGGAGTGAATTTTCATATCTTGACAAACAAGTTCTTAAGGAAGAGAAAACTTAAAGAGGTTAGGAACTACTGGACAGTACTAATGTTTAATGGCCACCTTTGCATACAAAATTGTATCTGTGTTAAACCCTATAGATAGAAGGAACATATGCATGGGTTAAACTAAGGGGCAAGTGGGTGCCCTATTGCCTCAACCAAACTCAGGTCAATGCTCTCTATACTCCCCCTTGAATTAGAATACAGGATCTTCATCCAACTCTCCCTCACCTACAGTCATGAGCAGGGAAAACACTGTCTTTAATGAATGAAAATCACTCATGAAAAAAAGCCGGTCTCTCTTAATTTTGCAGTGCATGTATCTACAGATACAGCACAGATCATTCCAGATTATTAAAAGAGAATTGTACAAATGGAGGATACTAGAAAAATGTAGAGATGTTAGGAAAGTGGATGCTTAACTCAGGTCTGAAATCTTAGCTTTCCTTAAAAATATTTTATTATTTAAAATACATCTCATACATGTATAGATTGAATACTGAGAAATTTATTTTCAAAAAAACCTTTTTGGTGTTTTTTAGACAAGACTTACAAAGTTATGAGTCTCCATTAATTAAACATCTAATCAATAGTATTTCACTGTAAAGCTCTAGACCTCTAAGTAACAAAGCACTATGTGTCTCCAATTAATACATATGTTGGTGGTACTAAGAACTGAATTCCTCGGGATTTACTCCTGCCTTAAAATTTCTAACTTGATTAGAGATTCCTCAGTGTGTAGATATTGGATAATTCATTGCTAGGTTCCAAACAATTTTCCCATGTTGGAAAATCATAAACAATCTTTTTGCTTTCATAGACCTCAAAGAAGATCTTTTTGATTAAATAATAATGGGTTGTATTGGTCAGCTTTCCACTGCTGTAACAAAATGCCTGAGACAACCAACTTATAAAGAGGAAATGCTTATTTTTGCTCACAGGCTTGGAGGTTTCTGTCTAGGGTCAGTTGGATCTATTGCTGATGTCTGTATATCTGGTAGAGGAAGTTGTCCTCAATGTAGTGGAGAAGCAAAGAGAGAAAGAGAAAGGAGAAGAGGCTAGATCTCCAAGGCCCACAAGGATCAGTACATTTTGTTGGTTTACATGTTTGTAGTAGGGTCTCTTTGGAGGCCAAGCTAGCTTTGAAATCATGGTGCTCCTTCTGCTTCAGCTTTCTGAATCCTAGGATTCTAGGCATGTACCAATGGGCCTTGCTTATAACACTCGTTATGCCCCCTTTGAAGGTGTGCCTCTAAGGACCTAATTTCTTCCCAGTAGGTCCCATTTCTAAATGTTCCTGTAGCTTCTAACAGTGCCACAAGCTGGCAAATAAACCTCTGACAGATGGCTTTGGGGCATATTTAAGATTCAAAGTGTGGCAATGGCCATCATGTGGACATAAAAGCTGTCTTTATTGAGCATCATCTTCTTACCCTCTATTCATTTCCATTTCCCTGGCTTGAGACCCCCAACATTAGTACCTAGCACTGTTGTTCAGGGAGTTCACCTTCTTGGACTCTTTCAGAATGACTGTTGTATATGTTATAAAATCCTCAGCTTTGGCTTTTCTCAGTATTCCTCTATTGTGTGAGGTCATTCAAGTCCACCTCCTCACCACACAAACTGATGGGAGGCCTTGGGTTACTCTGTTAACGTTTAAACACTTTCCGCCTCAAAAGAATAGAGACATTTCGTTTGAAAGCAAGTTGCTTGGTTGTTCAGTCAAACACAGTGCTGCTCATTACCGTGTGAGATCAACTTTTTAGGACAAAAATGTGCTTCATGAATTTAGCAGTTAAGGTAGACCAAGGGAAAACATACCTGTCAGGATGCAATCATATATAGATGCTCCAATGGTGGTTCAGGGTGATCCTATAGAACACTTAGAAAAAAAAAGTTCCAGTTATATTGGCAAATAAGCAGCTGGTTTCACTATCAAAACAAATTAAAGGGAAGTTTCCAATGTGGAAAAAAGATGCTGGCTCCCTGGGGCTCTGGAGTGTTTGGAACCAGTGGGTGGAGCATCCCAGCACTTAGGCCACTTACTCAGTGTGATCCCAGTATCCCTAATGCCAGGGTGAGACTCTCTTAGAACACACACACACACACACACACACACACACACACACACACACACAGAGAGAGAGAGAGAGAGACAGACAGACAGACAGACAGACAGACAGACAAATAGGCAGACAGAGACAGAGTTCATGGTTGACAGTCACAGAGAGCTAGCCTCAACTCTTAGCCAAATGTCTTAGGCAAGCTGCCTGGCATCTCTGAGCCTCCACTTCTATAGCAATGACATACATGTAATAACAGAATCAACAAAATTTATTGATATTCAGGTAGTGCAAGAGTCAGGGTTTGGAATCTATAGGCTGTGAACTACTGCAATATTATTAACAATAATACTAAAATCGTCTTGCCCCAGTATTCAACATAATTTCTTTAGAAATATTGGACAAAAATAGTTTCTTCTCTTTAAACACTTACAACCCCAAATCAATTTCATCTGCCCACTGACCTGCCCTAATTTTCTATCCCTGACATAATTAGCTCAGCTGAGAGTGCACGGATGTAGACTCAGAGAGTGCCCCAAGAGCTGGTATTGCAAGTAGGAGCCTTGTCCTCTTCACTCATGTGACAGCAGAGGTACTGGCCAAGACAGAAATCACACCGATGTCTCAGAAATGAGGCAAATGAGCCAAGAGCTAGTGCTGTAATGTGGATCCAGTCTATGACACTCAAGCGTGCATGCCTCTAAGGACTGTGGCAACTAATGGGCCAGAAGCTTTATCACATGTTCTCAGCAAACTGCCCCATCCTTGGAGTGTTGCTCCAGTTTAAGAATGGAGAGTGAGATGCTACAATAGATGGAAGCCTCAGCTCATGCAACTTCTAGTTTGGGAGTGTTTTCCACTGGGAAGCTATGACCTCTCAGTGATCTTAGGTCACCAGGTCATATAGGAACAGAGTAATCCTAGACACTTGCACCATGTTGTCCCAACAACATTATTGACCTTTGTCCTGGCCTCCACTGTTGAGTCTGGACTATACTGTTGCTTATGATGGAGCATATTATGGGTCACAATATTACAATCTATGATCTAATCTCCACATAGACTCAACTTCCCTGTATAACTGGCCTCAATGCAGACATTTACTCCTCTTTCTTTCCTATTTCTTTGTTTCTTCTTTTCTTTCTTTCCTTCCTTCCTTCTTTCTTTCTTTCTTTCTTTTTCTTTCTTCTTTCTTCTTTCTTTCTTTCTTATTTGTCTTTCTTTCCCTTCCCCTCCCTCTCTCTTGTTCCACCTCTAACTTCTTCTTTCTTTCCCTCTCCACCACTCTATTCAAAATGTCCTACTCCCAGGATTCCTTTCTACTCACAGGAAGTCAGGGTAGATGTTAGTCTTGCCACCGTTCTTCTCAGTTCTGCTATGGATTACAGAATGCTCACTCATTTGGCCTTATTCATGAATGTTAAGGTCCCAACAAAAACTGGACATAAAAAAGAAAGAATGAGTGGAAGTGAGGAGTTCAGTCAAATGAGGCATCCCCGCAAATTCACCCTGAACTGGAACCCTTCATTCTAGTCAAAGTAAACAAAACGTTTGCTGAGCCGCACCCCTGAGCATGAAGCAGATATGCAGGCTCACGTGTTAACTGGATGTTTGGCATACTGTTGTCAGTTCAAATGTCTAGCCACAGATTAAGCTGGGTTTCAATGGTTCACCCCCACTTCTGGATTGGTTGTTTTTATGCACTTATTCTTTTTAGTCAGTGTCATTGTCCACATGGCACAGGGGAGGAAGGATGGGTCATGTCTAAAGAGGCCTGGAAAACATGCAGAAGAGGGCTGCTCATAGGAAAGTCTTTCATTTCTGTACAGAAAAATAATGAATTTTAGTGTATGATGGCTTAACTCCTCAGAATCACTGCCAGACCCACTGATATTTAGTTCAGTGGGGCAGAGAAAAATTATAAATGAAACTAAAATATTATTCCTTAGAGAATCCAGGAGGAGCTTAATTAGTTTAGGAAAGCATTGAGAAGAGATGTAAATGTGTGACATTTCCTGGACTCTCTGACTATACAAAATCGTTTTCGATGGCATCTTTAGCTTCTCGCTAGCTAAGCAGGACCGTGCTTAGGGTGAGTTACATGTACTGACTCTTGCTTTGAGAACACCAATATTTGTGATACCTGGAGGCTCCATTGAGTCTTGAGGACAAGCATGTGCACAGTGTTTGACTGCTGAACTGATGGAGCTGAGGCTGTTGGGATGCTATCTGAAATGAGTGTTCTCGTCCTGACTCCCTGATAGTGAAGCTCCAGGACAGGGGCGCTAATTATGGCCCTCTTGTTTTCACATCCTTTGTGTTGGACTCTGAGGGATCCCATTTCCCTGCCTCTTGAATCTAGACTGCCTTTGGGACTTGATTCAGACAATGGGGTAGGACAGGAGTAATAACAAGGCAATAATTTAGAGTCTGAGCCTCAGGAAGTCTTTACTTCTCTTCCCTCTTCTAGATAGAGGGAAATAGATCATTAAGTAAGATAAAAAAGTAAGTCAACCATTTCTTCCTAGTCAAGGCCTCAGACATTAAAGAACCAGTTACAATTTCAAAATACCCTACTGGCCTGTAGTTGAACTTGGATGCATGAGTGTTCTCTCCAGAGATGCATGATGGGGCCCAGGGCATCATATACAACAGCCACATGATTTGGGGATCTCCAGCCATAATGCATCTTATTATAGTAAGCGTCACCTGATACAGGGGTACTTGTGCCTAATAAGAGAGTATCCCTCACAATATGGCTCTCACTTTTGGTGGGGTAGGTAAGATTTCCCTAATGTGCTCATGGGTGTGTGTGTGTGTGTGTGTGTGTGTGTGTGTGTGTGTGTGTGTTCATCTGCATATATATGTGTATGGGGGAATACATTTTATATATAACACCACATGTATGGATATGGCTGACATATATATTGCTTATATCTAGATTTTTTTATATATATATTGTGAAAAGCCATCTTACACAACCTGGGAGGCTCGTCTGTACAAAGCTAACATCCTCATTTCTGCCACAGAGGATTTACCAGCACATTGATGGGAACTGTGTCACCAACATAGCTGAAGCCAGAGCAGATTTTTCTCAGTAGACTGGGTAACTAACATAGTTTGTCGTTTAGCCAAGCATGAGTTTTATTTGCTCACCCATCTTTCCTTTCCTCTTATTATGATGCTGGTATCAATGCATAAGTTTTGTTCCCATCAATGATTGGTCCCTGTATCATGTTTATAGGTTTATTTTTAAATGGGGCTTATTTAAGTGACTGGTAACTAATCATAGTTCTATAATTGACCGAAAAGTCGACTCAATGTAAAATCCAAATTAAATTGAAAAGCAGCCCAAATCTTCGTTGTAAATTACTCTCCCAGCTCTACACACACTCACTTCACAACCAGGAAAGCTAGAGAAACAGAGTTTGCCTTCCTGCAGAAAATATGTTCAACAATTACAGACCAAAATTTATAGCAGAGGAAGAATGTTCCTCTTTCTTTGCAGTGACACTAATAAAAGGAAAGAAATATAAGTACTGCTTAGTGTGAGCTGGGAAATGCCTAAATTTTAAAATTAGAATAGTAGCATTTTATTTCTGGACAAGCTCTACTGATCTTTTTACACAGAGCGACAGACAGGCTTAGAGGGGCATGACCTCATCGCAAAGATTTGGGCTTCAAAGGCTGCTCCTCAAACCTCTTGCTGATCACCTGCCCCTCTACCACCCCAAATTAAACATTTGAAAGTTTTGAATCCTTCTTGCTTTACATGAACATTTTCCTGCCATCCTTCAGTCAATTACCCAGAGGCCAAAAATACCGCCCACCCCCAATTTGGCCCATCGCACCTCCACTGAGAAATGCTCTATATCCATTGGGGGGGCTCTCTGCACATTGCGGCCTCAGAGGCACAAAGTCCCAATGATGTAGAACAGCCCCGCCCCGTTCCTGCACAGCTCCGGTGCGGTGCTCTGGCCTCTTGATCAGCCGACAGTTTCATAAACATTCCAGATGGCTGGCTCTGCCTGAAGGAAGAATGGGTAATCACACTGCCCTCCCCTCCAAACAATAATAAAATAAGGCCGTGGTAGCACAGAAGCCCAAGCCTGCCAAAAACACTGAAAGGACTGCTTAGAACAATAGGACCGAGTGATTGGAAGGCATATCAGTGCCCTCACCCTTTATGAGTGAAGGTGGCCTGCTTTCCTACAAAGCACGAAAATCAATTGTGTTATGCAACAGCTCTGCTAAAAAATAAAGCCCCCCAAAAAGCAACAACAAAACCCCATCTAAATACTTTCTTTTAAAAGAATTTTAGTGAAAAGAGAATTTAAATTAAAACTCAGAAATAAAATAACCTTTGTAGGCCAGCGTTCTGAGCTCTGCACCCACAGCTCGAGACACATAGCAACAAAATGATGTTTACAACTAGCTGGCAGGAAGGGTTTGGCTGGGTTGATAACCCTCTCAGGACTGCAGGTTGAGTTCCGCAGAGTAGGGGAGGGGTCTAGCCTGAACTGTGTGGACATAGGTATCCTAGATGGTAGGGCCCAGTTCCAAGAGCAGTCACTACAACCTCTACCTTTTCTCTCTTTCATATTTGTTCAGAAATGCCCACTCCCTTTGCTCTTCCAACAGTGTCTTTAGCTCTCTGGGTATAGGTCCCACGAGTTGTAAATAAACTGTTCTCAGGTAACCCATTTCACTCTCTTTTAAAATATTTGGTTTTCTTGCTATGTGGCTCAGATGTTTCATAAATGCACTCAAAATTTACCAAGATAGTTCTATGAAAAGCACAAGGTTGTCAGGAAAGTTAAACTGTTCTCCATAGTGCCGCAGAGGATGTGTATTGTTATAGAACTTCCCAAACTCACAAAAATGTGTGAAACCAGGAGTGAGCCCCCATCAAACTTTGGGTTTAGGTTGGCAGTGATGCAGTGATGCAGGTCTGTTCATCACAGCAGTGCACCAGTCTGCAGGGGGATAGTGATATGGAGGACCTTGTGTGTATGAGGATAGGGGTGAAGGAGAAATCCCTCTACCTCCCATGGAACTCCATGTGTGCATGGGGGTCACTTTGTGGAGGTCAGGGGTCACTTTGTGGAGGTCAGGGGTCAGTTTGTGGTGTCATTTCTCCCCTTCTACCTTTGTGTGGATCCTGGTGATGGGACTCAGCTGCAGCAACACTAACAATTGTGAAATATTCCATTTTTAATACCTACTTGAAGGGTTCTTTCTTGGAAATAGTGAATATTCCATAGAAAAAGACATACATATGCGTGTGGTCCTTGAAGGAAATCTCAGGTGGTCACACTTTCATCTGGAGTGAAACCCATAGCTTTCCTGTCAATATTTTAGAATCTTCTCTTAAAATGAGTGGGATAGTTTGAGGTAAGTCACAGATGCTTGAAGAAGGCCTTAAGAAAGAATGAAACAGACATAGACAACCAAACAAACAGCTCGAGGAAAACAAAGACAATATAGACATTAGATGAAAACCAAAAAGTACATCATTCACTTCCTTGGAAACCCAAGGGAAAATACTGATCTACTGTATGATGACAACCTGCTGTATACCAGTCATCCTGAAGGAAGACCTGGTGGAAACTGCTTAGATATTTGCTGAAATAAAAAAAAAACATTAATGAAACAGAAAAGCTAACCTTCTAAGAAGACACTAACTGTGGACATAAGGTTGCAGATGAGCAAACAAGTGAGTGCACCCGAAGGCTCAGTATCCGAAGCAGACGTACTGAGGAGGAGATGCTCAGAACACTCCCAAGCAACCCCCACCCCTGCCTCCATTTTTAAGGTCTCTGCAGAGTATCCAATGCATTTAGTAGCTAGAATGCCATCATCCTAGGTGACATCACACAAAGTCCATGTCTACGATCTTATAGATCAGGAAAGATAAAATTAAAATCTGAAAAGCATCCAGGAAGAATAGTAGGTGGGGTAAAAAATCAAGAGTTAGGATGCTATCCATTGTCAAGGTCTGGAGATGAAATGCCAACACCAAAGACATGGTCATATTAAAGGCTTCCTCCAGGGGCAATGCTCAGAAGTGGGGAAATGAATGGACCATAAGTCTGCCTATATAAATAGATCAATCCACAGATGAGTTCCTAACTTGGTGGTATTATAGAGCTACGGTAGAGACGTACTGAGATAGAACTCTTTTGGAAGCAGTAGGCACTGGGAGTGGAGGGGAGAGGGGCATGCTTTTGTCTGAGTCCCTTCCTCATGTGGTTCCTCTCTCCTGCTGTTGGTGAGTAGCATGACACTCTGCCTTGCTATAGGTCTGAAGATGATGGAGCCAGTGAAGCCTGGGGTGAAATGTTTGAAACTGGGATCTAAATAAGTCATTGGTCTTTTAAAATACTACACAAAACAAAACAAACAAAAAAAAAACTAGCACAGCTACCCATTTAAAAG